AATAATTACTAAATAAGAAAATATTAGGCATTTCCTCCATTTATTGGACTTTTTCTTTTCCTTATTTTTTAATTCTTTGCTTTATTCTTTTTAGATTAATCATCTCAGTTTCTGCACAGCTAGAGATATATCATGCCAGCACCATATTGGTTTTCAGGCTTCTGAGGGGACTCCAGACATAATTCTCAGGCATTTATGCAAAGGTGCATTTGTAATTTTGGAAAGCTTTTGAAGGTTCAGCCTCTAGGCTTAATATCCCCTTAGGAAATGGAAATTCTTCTCCCATATGGAAATAGTTTCATCTTGTTTGCCTTCTCCTTTACTGCACTGGCTTAATCTACTTAGCTACAGAAAACTGTCAAGTCCAGTTATGAATCTTAGTGTTTACATATGCTTTTTGCCAAAGTTTAGTAGAAGACAAACCACAAGGTGGGCCACTAATATTTGCTAAGAGGTGTTAAAACTTATCATCCAGCCTTGTGCATATCCGATCCCATGCACGCATCAAATCCAAGTATCTTTTGCAAAATACTGAATTATCACTACTCTCATCACCTACCAACTTCTCCATTGACACAGCTAGAAACAAAATACTTGCTATCCTCTATTTTCTAATCTCTTACTCTACCATAAGGTTTCAGGTTTCTGTCTGAATTCTACTCAGCTGTCAGGGGTAACACAGAGTGTGGCAGGAGATATAGCACTGTGTTATACAGGGCCATGCCATGTACACAGAAAGGAGATACTGAAAAAATAATATGAAATTATGGAAGAGACATTACTACATTTAGAAATCAAATTTTGTTTCTCATTTGAAGGATATGTTTGGGCAGGTTTTAAGGTCTTTGTAGAATTGGCTAGTTTGATGCATATCAGGGAAGAAATATTATTTAAAGTGGATGAGGATACAGTGAAGATTAGGCTATCAGGAAGATTTGGCTATCACAAAGAGAAAAGGATGCCAATAGCAGACATAGAAATGGAAGAAGAAAAGGAAAAAAAAGAGATACTAAAATTATCTTGACACATCAGAAATGTTGGGAGAGAGTAATTAAAGATGAAAGGAAAATGAAGTCAAAACTATACAGTGGTAAAGACAGCAGTGATATCTTGATGCAGTAGATGTCAGTGAGGCTTTTGCTCTTGCATTGTCAGGATACAAGTTTACCTCTTCTGTCAGAGATGAGGAAAATCTGAACTATGGGCTGAGAGAAAGCCAATGATAAGATTTAAATGGGAGCTGATAAAGACTGGAGCAAGATACAAGAGGGTGAGGCTTACTAAGTGTCCTCTGAATTACATCAGACTTGTTGACAGTGACTGGCTTCTTATGGAGCTGCTAAAAGAAATGCTGCTTTGTGCACAAGACAAAGGAAATTAGGGATGTGGAGTGATTTTAGAAAACACAAATGATTTTCAAGCAATGGGGATGTTGTAGAAGCAATGAAACAAAAGCCACAGGAGGCTGCAGAAGAGGATGAAAAAAAAAAATAAAAAAAAGATAAGAGCCAGAGTGAACTCAGGCGGCAAGGAGGAATACATGGCCATGGATGAGTACAAAGCAGGAAGAAACACTGGGGAGAGAAAAAGGGAGAGGATGTAAAAATGTCACCAAAACTGTAAGCTGACCAGGACTAGGGAAGGATGCTGGTATTCATTGCCAGGAAATAGAGGGAGACCATTTGGGAAAGAGTTTGGTTTTCACTACACCATATTTCAAATAGAGTTAGGAGAGTCAGGAGGATGTAAACAGAGAAATATGCAAGTTAGTCTGAAGGGATAACCACACAGATAGATACTGAAAAACATGTGGTAAGTGGATTTGGGTAAAGGATGAAAGTGAAGTGGAAGAAAGGAAAAAGACAAGACTTTGCAAATGGTATCTCTACGCTGAGGAATACTGAGGTGTTCTAGTCCATTTAGTAGAAGCAGGTCAAAGCCTGCTGGAATGTGTGAAACCTACCAAAAGAAGATGAATTACCTTGTGCTGGATACCATGCTGTCACAGCTGGATCATTATTAATACAAGATGTAGCTAGTTCATCTTTGTGATACACTGTTTTTTCTCCAACAATAAACTGATGCAAATACAATGTGGATGGAAGGGAGAGAGAAAGGCATTTCGATAGAGAATGTATCAAATAAATTAAAAGTGGAAGACCTAAAAGTTAGATTATATGACTGAAGGCTAATCATATTATGCAAAGACCCAAAGAACACCAGAGAAATAATGATGGGTGAAGGAACCCGCCTAATCTATTCAGTTCCAACAGGATGCCCTGACTTGGCCATTCCCAGGGCTATTGAAAAAAGATCAGACAGTGGCTCCCTGGGGGAAAACCACTGTGAGGAGCCAAGGAAAAGAACACCATGTATGCTAATGGAGATCACTGCGTCCAGGGGCACAGGACTTATTGTAGGGTGTAGGGGACAAAGGATCACAGGATTTGGTAAAACTTGCAATTGGACCTTTTAATGGAACTGTGGGAAGATGCAGGACTTATTAGGATATGTTTTGAGGAAGAACCAAAGGAAAAGGGAGGGACTGGGGTGGATCCAGAAAGAGTACACATCTATCCCATTTTGTTACTTAAATACTCTTTCCAACTGTATCCTGGGTGAGCATGCTTTCTGTTTTGTTTCTGTTCATGTGTTGCACTACTGCTAGCAAATATCAAGCTGGGCTGGGTAGTGGATTGGATGAGAAGTCTGAGCACCAGAACCTGAAGAGACTGGGGGGACATTGGAGGGACATGGAGGTCTGGGGGACATGGAGTTCTGGGGCTCAGCAGCTGAAGACACTGCAAGTCACAGGCCAGCTACTGCCCTCCCACATTGCATCTGTGCTTGCTTAACTACTAGCGAAGAGCAATCCACCAGCAGATTTTGGGTTTGAGTGGCTAGAGAGGAGGAGTGTGCTGGAGCATTCCATACTGCTCATGATTATGGGAATTTTGTGAATTTTGTGGGTGCTGGGAAGGACACTCTGCCTGTGCTGGGCCGCGTGCTTGTGTATGTGCGTGTGTGTGTGCATGTGCACCTATTGCACATACAGGCTCAGCCACTTTCCTCCCTCCACTAAGGATGTGGGTCTGCAGAGACCTGCATCCCTGGGGTTGCATCCCCGATGAGGGCTGTGTCCTGTAGCCCACCAGATTCAGCTACTTCTAGTTTATGCATAGGTATGTATTTATTTATATACACATATATATATTTACATGTGCAGTTATTTTTATATATTTTCTTTATCTGAATAAATGCTTGTTTGAATCCTGAATATTATTTTGAAATTTTTATTTTTCAATTTACAAATAGAGTCTTGATGCCATTCCTGGACACTGTAGTTGGAAATATATAACTTTTTATAGACAAGGAGATGTTAACAGAGGACTGTTTTATTTTTCCTGGCACATTTCCAAACATCAGTGATTTAGAGTCAGTGCCTGAATAGAGGTTGTTGGGATGCAATAAAGTTCTGAACTTCTTTTCATTTTAATAAAATGATGTTTTCAACATCTGGAACAATTCTACATTCTCAGTCACAGTTTTATAATACAAAGCATTTGAGGATCATAAAATTTCCCTTTAACACTTTGATTAATTGATGGCTGTCTTGAATCTGCTTGCATCAAAGTGAGTATAAATGGATTTAAGTGTTAAGAAAGTCACTGGCTTAGTTTAAAAGTTGTGCTCCTTTAGCTGTATTTCCCCATGAAATTCTTATACTAAAAAAGAATTCTTGTACTTATATATCGCTTTGTGTGGTATTGGAGAAAGAAGTTTGAAGCATTTTTTATATGTCAGGGATTGGAATGGATTAATACTTGCATGGTTGTAGCTCCAAGGATGTGTCAATGGAAGCTAATAGCGCACCCTGCCAATTTACTAGAAGTGGCTGAACTAAATCCTGTCATAATTAATGGAGTTTTATCTTATGTAAATTTTAATAGGTTTTGGATGAACCACACTCTTTTATATTTGATATAAACAAAACCAAAATTTCTCCTTGAATTTTTAAAAATCTCCTTGAAAGATTGTGTAGAATACTCTTGAATCTAACAGTGATGAAAGTTGAAGGACATATTAAGAATATAGCATTGCTCTCTGACAAACCATCCCTGAATATCACATAGCTCTTAGAGCAAGATAACAGATGAGTGTCCATAGTGATAAAATTCCTAGTTTGTACATCCTATGTTACATATACCCAGATGTTTAAGTAAAGATTTCCATCACTCTTGCTTAATCTTTTTAAGTAAAAATGTAGTAATGATAGCTAGAGCAAAAGTAGGCTAGTATATTAGAAATGCCTGAATTTAGCTGCTTACAATGTCACCATATTCATGTAAGCAGGATTTTTCCAATATGTCTGCTCTTCATTTCAGGCTAAATTTCTTTGGAAACTTAAGATTTTTTTTAATTTTATTTTTTTTTAGGTCAATTCTGTGAAGAAGATTAAGAGAGCAGAGTGGATAGTTTTAAAAGTGTTAAAAATTATTTCTAACACTTCTAGGAGGAGCTGCTGAGTGGTTCTGCAGAAGAAACTGAATTTTGTAAAACTTTTAATTTCTCAGCTCAGAATTCTCTTATTAATTGTTAATACATCTGCACATCAAAGGGCTTATAACAGGGAAATCCTTGAACATATCAGGAAGTATCAACCAGATATTTTCTAGAGGATATAATGAAGCAAATGACCCCAAATACTTCTGGAAAACTTATAAACAAGTAGAGAAAAGTTCTGTGTCAACATGAACATGAACAGGCCATCACATTTTTAATGGGAGAAATAGTGACTTTGCTGTTCAAGAAGTTTAATATCTTGGTATTAAACTTAGGAAGATTCAAGCCAAGTTTTAAATATATATATATGGGGGGGGGGGAGAAGGGGAAGAGTGGCCATGTTAGAGAAAATGTCAGCTATTGCAGTAATATTTGCTAATATTTACAAAAATAAAAATAAAAAATTAAATTTCTTCACAAACATTATAAATAAGTCTTAGTAAAAATGTGTTTTTGTATTTTATGTTGCATATCACATCAATTTATCCTGAAGGAGAATGACACGTCAATGTACATCTTGATGGTGGAATTCATGTAAAATCTATATTTGCCATAAGCAAATCTGGCAGTGAGAAGTCTTGTGGAATATTGGCTGATCTTCATCTACTCTGTAGGTGTACATGTAGCTTATACTGTCATGAACATGAACATGCTGTCATGAACATGAGCAGGTAGGTAAAGCTGAAAGGCACACAGCATCCTCTAGTCACTACCCATATGGCAGTAGAGCAATGGGAGCCTGATGCTTGTTGTGTGGTTAAGGAAGCTTTCAGTGGATCTGGACTGGAAACAAAGCTGATTGCTTTGGGCAAGTTCAGTTTTCAGTTGGCATGGAAAATACAGCAAGACTGATTGGAAAGGGTATGTTTATATCCCAAAGAATAGTTGAAAAAAAAATGTTTCCTCATTTAACATCTTTTCCTCAATTTCACATTCCATAATTTTCTGGAATGTCGGTACAAGTAAAATTCATGCAGGCACATAATTTTTGGGGCCAGGAACCGATCCAGATAATAACTAACCTGTCAGAAGACCAGTCAGTTAGTCCTCTGATCCAGTTCATCAGACAGCCACTGAAAAGTAGGATCAGCACAAGAAAAGTAGCAGGACTGAGACCACCTCCTTTTGGCATCAGCCCCCACTTATGTCAGTTTAGAGTGATCACAGACCTATAACCAGAGTGAGCCAAGTGTTTTATTTCACCCAGTCTGTCAATGACAGAATGACAGATTAATGCAACCAGTTATAGTAACTTCTGTGCTCAAGCCTCTTACACTATTTGTTGTTGCTCTGAAAGATCCAACTTAAGTATTTGAATGTAGTAACATACAAATTCTATTCTGTTTTTCGCAGTGGTAAACAAAAGTTTGAGAAACTAACACACATGCATTTTAAAAGTAAAGGAATACATATATTAGCTTTAAGTTAAGCTCCTGATTTTTAAGACCATGTAATGGTTGCTTCACGATTGAAATAGACATTAACGTTAAGAAAATGGGGAGCCCTGGAGACAGAAGACACAGCAGGAAGAATTTTTCGTTTTTTGTTTTGTTTTTCAAAGCTGATCAGGGTTGTGTTTGATCTGCTGGGTTGCTGGTAATGCTGTTGATGCATGAGAATGAAAAAAATCAGACATGAATATCAGGGTCCAGACTGTGCTTGCAAAATTAGAAAAGTTAGAAAAAAAAACGTGCTTTTGCTTGTGTACAAAATACATTTGTTCTGGAAATCATTGAGAGACAGTAAGCGTGGGGAACTTGCAGTGCCATGTTTTGACTGTTTATAAAACTTTGGAGTCATCAGGATGGCATTTCTCTTTAAATGTTTGGACCTAATGTGGCAGCTTTTGAATGCCACATCCAATCACTTCCAGGGGATATTCTAAATGTCAGTGGGCAGAACCCTAGGGGTTTGGGTGGAAATCAGAAAGCTGCAGGATGAAAAGGAGGGTGACACACAGAGCCCCTGGCATCTGGTTAGTAAACTGAGCAACTTTAATTGTCTATAAATCAAAGACCCACTCTCAGAAAACTATTAACACATACCAGTGAAACAATGCCCTTGCTTTAGCTATTCTCTTTGGTTTTTCCAATATACTGTCGAAGAGAAAGACAAATCAGGCAAAATACAATTGTGAATGGTAGATGGTCTACTGGAGGGCTGGGAAGTGGGAACATGCAAGAACTCTAAGTGGGGTGTAGGTCCTGAGAGGGTCCAAGGAGAGAGGAGCAAATGAGAGGGTTTGATATGGAGTGGCAGGGGAGTGGGGAGCTGGGGAGCATAAGTACTCAGGAAAGCAGGACTCAGGTGTTTAACACTGTGTTCTTGGTATAAACATAGCTGCACACTGGGAAATGGAGACAATCCTTGGCCTGGCAAAAGGAATGCACAGGCTTAGGTTAATTTAGTGCCACGGTGTAATATCAGATACACTAAGCAATGGAAAGAATGCCTAAAAATGAGTGAATACTGGTGAAACAAATCTTGGGGGAATAAGAACAATAAGATGGAAATGTGCCAATAATACCACTGGATGGTAGTAAGAGAACTATTACAACATCAGGAACTTCATCATACAAGAAGAGATTACTAATTCTCTGTGTTTCATACTGCCCAATTATTTGACTGTTAAAGGTCTGAACTGAAATCCATTTGGTATTTGATATTAGAGCGCATTGGATCAAGACTTCAATTCAATTAAGAAATTGATCTAGTATGTTGCTTCCTATTTATATTAAAGAAGGTAAGAAGAGATATATATCAGTTTTCAGTAACAGAATTGTCTCTGCTTTAACATATAATCACTGCTTTACTTCATGGCATTTCTGTTCTGGAAAACTTATTAGTACCAGAAGAACTAAACTATAGAGAAAAAGAGAACCACAAGAAAACATCCAGAGTATATAAATGTCACTTCCAATAATATAGAACTAAACAATTTCCTTTAAAAATCCCAGTTTGTCAAACACTGAAATGAATTATGTCCTATTGCATTAAGAGCTAAAAGCAGCAATTGGCACACTCCATCCTCAACTTCCACATTCATTCAGATGTAAATCTGAATTGAAGTGATAGCAACAGAATTTTGCATGCAAGCAATTTGGGAAGAATCATTCACAATTTCTCACGCAATCTGGATGGATGTGTTCTCATGCAATTCATGCTGGATGGACAGAAAGTCACTGAAGACGTGTGCCAGGGTTCCTAGCACTTCCAGCCGGTATTGGAATTACATCAGAAATTCTGTTTTTTATTTTAAAATAAAGAATAAGCTTCAAGTCCTCTGGTCTGAAAAGAATATCTTGAGTACCTGGTCTTGGTGCAATCAGTACCTAATTGCAAGGAAAACATTTCCTTTTCAGCACTGGAGCACTAACTTCAAGATCCACAGTTTGAGGGGCAGAAGGGAAGTCACATTTGCAAACTCTGGTCCCAGGTGAAGTTGTTTTACATAAGGAAATCAGCAGCAAGACAAGTGGCAGTGACCCTTTCACCCTCCCCTAGAGGGGAAAATGGCAGAAAGTCCAAGACAACATACTTGTCGGGGATGTGATGGTGGTGCAGTCCCTTCAGACCTAAGGAATCTTGGAGCAGACAGATTGGACAACATCTAAGGGCAATGGGGTAGTATTCATTTTCTTAATCCACCTTCCAAAACAAATTAGTCTGATGACATCTTCTGTGGAGAAACCTTGACCAGAACTATGGTAAGTTCTTGGTAGAAGAAAGACTGGTTTTAAAGAAGAGAAAGCTCAGATAATTGCCTCTAGCTCTCTGGGATGAATGGGAAGCTCTGGTACCAGGCAAAGTCTGACCATCATGCATGGAATCCCTTAATTGTCTTCAATATTTGACCATGCAGTTCCTTTGATGAAAGTATATACTATTTTGTTAGAGATCTCATTTCATAACAGACCTAATTTCACTGCTTGTTCTGCTCTATTCCATACTGTATTTCAGGTGGACTCTTGGATGAGTAGCCAACTGGATGACTGTCTTCATTAGTGCATGAAATATCTGTGACATATTTTGCTTGTTCCCTCTATGGATCCTTGCTGAGTATGCAGGGTGCTGAAGATAGACTTGTGTTCTTCAGTGCAGTTTCATTTTTCAGCTTATTTAAGTCAACGTGAAAGAACTATGCCATATAGCTGGATTGGAAGAGCATGTTGCTTTTGAGGTGTTCAGCCACTGAGAGAGCTGTTCAGCCCAGTTTCCAGGAGTGTTCTGTGTCTCACCTAGACAGGTTTTCATTTTGTACAATTAACTACTTTTATCAAAAAGCAGAACTGTTAACCAAATTCATATTGTGTTATTTTGTTCAACAAAAGTTATATGGATTACAAATTGGAGACTTCTTATTGCTATAAAATAATAGCATTGAAATGGCTTTGAAAATGCAAAAAGAACAGCATTATGCTAGGACTGAAAAATAAACTACAAGTCTATCCTAGTACTATTGTCCTCATGAGGAGAAGCACAAAATTTAAGCAGGCATTTTAGACAGAGAAAAGCATTGGATTGAAACAATTAATGGAGCAATAATATGAAATGACTCTGCACTCACTTCTTTCCAGAGATGTGGAGGTCAAAGTTTCATTGATACTGGTGACAGTCCAAATCTAAATTAGGTAATGGCCAAAAGGGTTTCAGAAAAATCAGAATAGTCTAAAGTCAGTATCACGCAATAGTTAAGCATGACATGATATAAAATGTGTTATAAATATGCTGGTATTTTATATTCTGCTTGGACTCTGGAAAGAGGTGACCTCTGGGAAGATGCATTGTTGCATCTCTTCTCATGGGATAACTAGTATAATAGCTAACAGCTATTAATGCATTTTGGCATATGTGATGTGTAGATACATTACTTACTTGTAAAAAGCCTTTTTCTTGAAGTTTCTCTAGGTGTTGACATTACAAAATTCAGCCAAAAGGTAATGAACTATTAGTCTTTCTAAAATACCAAGACAAATTAATACCGTAAGTAATAAGTAGCAAATAAGTAAGCAGGCAGAAGGTCTGTTGATTCTAAATAAATCATTAGAAACATTGCACTGCTCATCTAGAGATATATTAAATTGTCCCAAGAACATTTTTTATATTTGTTTCTTGTTCTAAGCAAAAATAGGAAATGAAAGCATCCCTGATGGAAATGTACTTGACCACACAGACCAGCCCAAATAATGCTTTTCTTATTTCCTTGTTTTTTAAATAAACACTCCTCAACCAAAAGTTTATCTTTCTCTGCCTGGAATTCTATTGTATTAGTCATTCAGCTGCACACAAAAGCAGTGAACATTCAGTGTGCGTGTTGCACTGCAAGGAGACATACGGCATTTATTATAAATGAATTCCAAATAATTAGTGTAAGAGATCATGAAACGTACATAGGAAAAAAGATTGCCTGAGTTGTATTGCAAACAGGAGGGGGTCCAGGACATTAACAGACAATCTGCACTACTGCTTTTCCCTGAGGGGTCTTGTACAGGTGGTTCATATTTCTGAAGTAGAAACGTATGCTGTATGAAATGGAAAAGCTCTCTTAAATTTTTTCCACTACATCATTTCAATTTTGATTCTTCTTGCCTCTGTTGTGCTTTAGAGGTAGGCAATTGGTTTATTAGTGCTATCATTACTTCATTTTGGAAAACCGCTGCCTTTTATATCTGTCACTTCCACCTTAAAGAACCATCATTTCCTAGCTGGCCCATATCTAAACGCAGAAACTGGAAAAAGTAAAGATAATGATAACTGGTGCATGAGTTAATGGGAGAAGAAAAAAGAATCAAAATTTGCATGTACTAGGACCTAAGCTGTCTTGATGAGCTGGCATATATCAGAAGATATGGCACTACAGAGAAAACTTTAGAAAATGATCTCTTTGAGACTTTGTGACATAACATTATCAGAGCTTTTTGCATGATAAAAATCTCTTTTTTATTTTTTTTATATATATAATATATATTATATATATTATATATATTTCCTGGTATATATATATATATATACCAGGAATCATGTATGTCACGTATACAAATAGATTTATGTATGAAGCCCATTATATGAGTTGTCTTTGGGAGACATACCTTATCTGATATGTTGAGGCATAGTTAGACTTACTCACTGATGCAGCAAAAAAAAACAAAAAAACAAAAAACAAACAAACAAAATATATATATATTATATATATATTATTATTATTATTATTATTTTATTATTATTTTTATTATTTTTTTTTTTTTCTAAAGGATTTGTACTATTTATGCTCTATATAAAGTTAAGTTTATCCTGAACTGTGTTATCAAGTAAAGGCCTCAGGAAAGAGCTACTTACAGGACAAATGAAAAAGAAACCCAAATATCCTTTGAAGTATTCTGTTTGAAGAATGGTATCTTACAAAAATACTTTTTGCTGGACAGAAAGCTGTTCCAAATTTCTGGCAAAGCCCAAGCCTCTTTACTGTTGTAAAGCTTATTCTCTCTATGAAGAACACCATTTTGCAGATTATTACTGTACAGTTGCTGATTGTTGAAGTCAGACTGGGTCACGCTAACATTGTTGTTTGTCCCATGTAGTGCTGATAAAGAAAGAAAGAAAGGTGAAATGTTTATGAAAGTGTGTTTTCAAATTGGCCAGAAAATGAATTTAGCACACAAAAAGTTGATAAAATGTATTGGACCACAAAAAGGCAAAGTAAAGTAATGAAGCATTAATGGACCATCCTTAAAACTTTCCAGATCTCAAGATTATTTCTAATTATTTCTAATCTCCAGATTAGAAACAAACCTACCACAATTAACTGACCAGCAAAATGTGAGCAATGAGATAGGTTAAAAAAACACATTTGATGGTGCCATACTCAGGAAAACACTGGAGAGCAGCAACTTGAAGCTTAATGTCTTTTGTTCAAAACTCACTAAGACCCATTTGAAAATGCACAGATATTTTTCTTCAAAAAATGAACATTCTACATGGTCTTTCAGGACAAGAAGAGACTTCTTCAAATCTTTAATCTAGAAGGGTCCCAGTTATGTTCATATGCTCATAAACCACAAGGTCAAAGTTTTTGTCTGGATTTTTATCCTGGGCCTCATTCAAAGCCAATAAACTCAATGCAAAACCTCTTGGTGACTTCATAGGCTTTGAATCAAGGTCCAGGAAGCTACTGAGTGGAGCGTATAACAGACTTTCTATCCTGAAAGAATGATCTCATTTATGAACAAAAACTCTTTCTGAGAAATCTCACATATTTTCAGTGAGTGTTAAAAGGCTTTGGTAGGTATGTGGTTAGTAGGTGACTAATTAGTACCATGTGTCAAAATTGAGATTTCTCTAACAAAAATCTTGTAGATATCTTAATATCTCTATTTACTATTTCCTATTAGATAGTAGACATTCCTCTACCAAAATAACAACACATAATTTGTCTCTGTACTGTGCAGGGAGTCTAGGGCAACCAGGAAACATGTATGTCATATATACAAATAGATTTATGTATGAAGCCCATTATACGAGTTGTCTTTGGAAGGCATACCTTACCTGATATGTTGAGGCATAGTTAGACTTACTCACTGATGCAGAAAGTACAATGGATTGAAAACAAAAGCAAAAGAGTATAGTAAGATAACTCCAAACCACAAGCAGAGCAGAGGACACCATTCCAACAGCACTATGATTTACTGCAAAGTGCTGCTTTTGATAGCCTTGATATTCTTTTTGTCTGGATGCAAAAGAAATAAATCATGGTTAAAACTTCCTAAAGATGAATACAGTCAAGATTTCATTTTAGATGGCAGTTACGTCAGAATTGGTGTTCTGAAATTCTGGAGACTCTGAAGTTGTTGTTTTGATATCCTATTTAATCATATAAAATACATTGTGAAGAGCCAAATGAGACAACTTCTGAAGATAAAGCCTCAAATTTGTGGTGTAATATGTCTTCCTTCATGCCAGTATTCACAATTCATGAGGGGAATCAGCACTATTTATTTTTTTTTTTCATGAGAAAATAATAAGAAACATGAAAAGAGAAAATACTCCAAACAAAGTAGAAACTTGTTAAGCCAAAATAAGAAACCTTATCTGAGCATTTTTTCTGAATGTAGTTACTTTTAGAACTTAAGGTATGAAAAGTCTATTATGTAGTCCAATATTCTATGTTTCAGGGTCCAATACAATTCTATCCCAAAGTCAGACTAAGAAGCCAAATACTTTGTATTTGACCAAAGTAAAATGTCTGACAAAATCTATCTAAGAGAAATAGTTGAGACTGGCTGTTGGTTATTTATTTCAATGAGTTGTTCTTAGCTGACACAAGTAGATAAAACATATACAGGGACACATAGTTTAAAGTTTATTTATCCCTATCAACAATCAAGCTCACAGAGAGAACAACCATGAACACTACTTACCTATACTGCTGAGATCTGCTTTATGTTATAAACACTTTTGAGAAAATAAGACAAAACAAGAGACAGGTCCTGAAATACATAAAGGAATTCTGTGTGTTTCTGCTCATATCTTCCAGAATATTGTATAAGGCATAATCCACAGGAGAGTACAGATGTTGAAGGCCAGTGTGTTGGGAATTTTATCTACTTCAGATTTGTAAAAGCTCAAGATGTTCTACTTAAAAAAAAAAAATATATTCCCAATTAATAGCTAACACAGATGTCAGTGGTTAGATATGTACCACAGTTGCATCTTTTAGAGATGTTTTCTGCTTGGGAGATAATGGTGCACACATTTAGAGATTCTCTGCTGGAATAAAGCCTTTTCTCAATGGTCCTCCTAAAGTCCATTTCTATTTTTAAAGCTTCTGAAACTATGCTCTTATTGTAGTTCCAAGATGCAGTCGTCTAGGTAATTGATGCTCTGGTGATGTGATATACTCCCCTGAGCTGTAGCAATTCCATTTGATTCACTTTAGCTGAGACAATAAAGAGTTTTAAATTAAATCAATAAAGGTCATTTTATTTAGACAAGGATGATTCTTCACAGAGACTGTCCCTTCAGCACAGAAAAATAAAGAATTATTGTTCACAAGGCAATAATTTTTCCCTTTGTTTCAAGTTAAGTGATCAAAAAATAGCCTTTTCTCCTCTACCAGACAATATTGGTTAACTGAAGGTGAGTTCAAGCACTTAGAGAGGTTTGTTAAAAAAACAGTGCATTGCTTTTCATCAATTGAGTGGACAAGATGGGTGTTCTGTCATCCTTAAACACAGTTATGACTTGACTGAGCAATATGGTATACACAGCAAAAGAGCCTCTGAGGGGAGACACAAATATGCCATAAGCTATTATTAAAATAATAATAATTAAAAAATCTATGGCAGATGTGGCGATATGTTTTGGCTTGTTGTTTGAGATTGCTCTTAGAAGTTGACAGTGAGGCACCCTCCAGAGCTGCCTTCATGCTGTGAGAAGGGTGGGAAGAGAAAGGAAGAGAGAAGCAAGCTGTGGGAGTGCAGAAATTTACTTTTGAGTACATGAAGGAGCAGTATTTCTGAATATCAGCACTTACACATCAGGATTACAGTTCCACATTGTATTAATGGGGAAATTTTGGATGGAAGTACTCATATTGTCATGTGTTCTCCTCAGGGCAAGAATGTTTTCGCTCTTGTATTTTGACAGCCAAAACAGATTTGCTGCAAAAGAACAATTTGTAGACTTTTCCATTTTTAATCGAGCAAGAGCCAAAAATGAAGTCTATATCATTTCCTTGTGTCTTCAGAAATATTATATTTGGGGGGTTGGTGTAGCCATGGATTCCCACATAAACTTCAAATTCAACATCAAGTTAGTAAGATTTTGCCACTAATATTCCCACAGGTTGGTAGACTTCTTGCAAAAGAACAAGAAACTAGAAAAGAACAAAAGACAAAACAAGTATGCTCGGAACTGCTTACACTGCATGGAGACACTGCTCTTAGTTGGACTTGTCTGACTTATGAAGGGCCTGGGTAGCCTGGGTACTCTGATAACAGGTCCATGTTCATTGGTTTTTAGATTCATGCAACCTCAGTTTTCTTGGTAATTTATAGCTATTTCAATATATTGCATCACTGCATAATTAGGTTCTAATTCTGATCTGATAATCAGCTCAAGGTAAATACAAATGGGCAAAAAAAAAAAAAAAAAAAGATTTTTGTGTCTGCGATAGCATGATCAAGATCAAAACCATAAAAAAAAAAAAAAGCTCAGAGATCATCCCCTTGTATGAACTGATCTGACTCCATATTAATTTTTAACATTAATTTTATAATGTAATTTGTCCAGCAAATCTTGCATGATAAGCAGAAATACATGTGTTTTCCCTAGTGTGCTTAACTCAGCTAATTCAGTGAGGAGTCTCCTGGACTGTTAAGTACTTCTTGGACGTATTGCAGATCATTAAGATGCATGCTGAAAAGTGTATTGGGTATTTAAAATGCAATCTCAATATGTTGGTTTTTTTTTTCTTGTGAGAGAACAAGTTTTCAGGAAATACTGCTCATAGGGGAGAGAGAAAATGTCAGGCAATGGCTTTGAAAAATGGTTTGATATCAAGTGAAGATTAAAGACCCTATTGTATTGTTTCACAATGCAAGATGATTTATATATATATATATATATATAATCATAGACACTGTCAAAAATCAATAAGTAAATTGAATGCGTAGAAACAAATTCATTATTTATTTTTGACACAGAGGAGGGAATTAGGACCTGTGTAATTACTTCTTGACCAATGGAAGTAATGGAAGAAACGCTTAAAATGTCTAATTATCTTGAAGCAATGAGATAGGTTAAATACACTTTTGTTCTTCCTCAGGATGTGCATCTATTACACTTTTAATAACTGTGAAATAAAGTGTGAAAAAAATTTTTTGGCAAGACCAAGGTTTTTCAATTTAAACATCTGTGAAAATTAATAATCAAGTGTGAGATTCCTAGAAGATGCTTTAACTTGTCTAAGTGAGTAGAAGAACAATATGCAAAAGAGATTCAAGAAGAAGAGACATGTTTCCATGTGAAGTTAATGGGGAACAGCAGGACAGCTTCTGTGAATGGGCATTTTCAGCTCACAGCTGCTCATAAATTATTCATCTCATCTCTGGTTTAGCTCATAGCGCTCATTCCCTTTGGGGACTTATGGCATAAAGGTCTTCTAGTGGCTCTCACCAACATTAGGGAGAGCATCTGAAACCAAATTATTTAGTGTACCAAATCAATAAAGTGTAGGTGTTGAGTCATATGGATCAAGTGCAAAGAGCAAAAGACAAACTTTAAAGTGTATTTTTACACATAAGCTTTGTTCAAACCAGCCTCAGACCAATAGATACCTACATGCTTTCTTAGAGACAGGCAGGAAGGTGAAAACATCATGACAGCTCTCCTCTTCACCATTAGAATGAACCAGCAAGATAAATGTACAAATCAGTTGATCTTTTCTGATCATCCTCCTTAAGAGAAGGATACAGGCACCATCATTTCCCCACCCCAGGCTCTGCATTCAACTCCAAAAATACTTGAGGAAAGGAGGTCACTGCCTACTGGAAAAGTGGACTGAAAAGTAAATACCAAGTAGAAAGCAGGGAAAATAGTCCAGATCAACACTTCTGAATAGATTTTGAGAATACACTAGAAGAATATACAGATTTCTGACGAGAAAGTTGGATCTAATGCTATTGCAAACCTAGAGCAACATGTCACAGAGAATGTAGAAATGATTCTCAGCATTACCAGGCAAAAACTTCAGTTCACACGTGGGAAAAAATCATTTTGTGAGTATAGAACCTACAGCATTTGCTGTTTTCCTGAGAAATACAGCTGTTTAATGATGTCGTATGATGGCTTATTCATGTCTTGCTTTTCTGGCTGTTGTGGTTTAACCTGTCAGGTAGCTAAGCACCCCACAGACATTTGCTCATTGCCCCCAGTGGGATGGAGGAGAGAATCAAGAAAGGGAAAATAAAAAGAACAAACAAACAAGAACAACAACAAAACCAAGAGATAAATAAATAAATAAATAAATAAATAAATAAATAAATAAATAAATAAATAAATAAATGATGCACAATTCAACTGATCACCACCAGTCACGCAATGCTGAGCCAGTCCACAAGAAGCTGCCGTGCTGACTGCTCTAGCCAATTCTCCCAAGTTTTATTGTTCAGCATGACACCACATGGTATGGAATACTCCATTGGCCGGTTTCAGTCAGCTGTGCCGGCTGGGTACCATTCCAGCTTCTTGTGTATCCCCAGCCTTCTTGCTAGAGGGGCGGTAGGAGAAGCCTAAAGTCCTTGGCTTAATGTAAGCACTGCTCAGTAACTGAAATTTTGGTGTGTTATCGGCATTATTTTCATTCTAAATCCAAAAATCAGACCCATACCAACTCTAGGTATAACTCTATCTCAGTCAAAACAAGGACACTGCTTTATTTCCTCTGGACAAATTCTAACAGATTTCAAAAAAAACCTCAGTTTATGTGGTGGCATGAGAATGTTTGAAGAGAAAGAAGGCAAGAGAAATCTGTAACATTTGTTTTTCCTAGATGTGAAAATAGATAAGAGCTCTAGTGCTCTACAACCAGTAACTAGAAACTGCTTACCTCTGCCAATGACTTAAGTCCCTCCACAGCACTGCTGGTACTTATAATACATATGTGTCTATTTCATGCAGACAAAATAGTTCAGGAGCTATATTTGAGCCCTTTTTAAGGCAGGAAGGACCATGAACTTGTACTCGAATTATGCCCGTACATGTGAAAATAGCACCACTAGACATAGATGCACATCCTGAGGAAGAACAAAGCATATACCTTCCCACCCTGCATGGTTGCCTGAAACACCATCAACAGTTCTATGGGGAATGCAATGCCTTTAACTCAGGTCTTGGCAAAGAGTTCACTTTGGTTCATCTTTAACTGGACAACTGATGCAGAACACCTCCTATTATAAATTCAATTTAGTTTTACTTCACACAACAGAAACAGTTTTTCTGGATGGATGCTCAATTTCTTTCAGACAAAGAGTGAACTGAGAGTAAATTAAGCACATCTAAGTGGAGAAGTGAATCTCTCACAGTTTCAGAAGACTTTGGTCACAGTAAATAAGCAGTACTTCCTATGTGAGAACTAGGAGTATCACAACAAAGGGCTTTTTATGCTTTGTACAAACAAAATTCCATCAGTTTCAATATGTTGGAACATCTGCTTTTATCTAGAAGAGATGAATACAAACCCTTTATATGAATTCCTTTTCCAGTTCTTGTAGCTGTGGTTGCCACTTATACACTAGCCCTTTAGTAACAATTTCTTTTTATAGTTTTTATGATTCATAAGACTTTCTGATGTACAGAATAATTTGCTTTTTATAGTATAAGCAGAAGCAACAGGTGATGTATTCCACTAGAAAACAACATGTTTTTTGTGGACAATTCCTCTTGAAGGCTTCATTGGACAGAACAGTCAGCTTCAGACTTAGAGAAAAGTGAAATAATGATGCCCCCTGCTCAAGTATTTTTGAAGATTTATTTATTTATTTGTTTATTTATTGTGAATTAGTTGTATTTTGAATTAGTTGCTGTTGAGTTATGGTGAGGGAGGTTTTCTCTTATCTATGATGGTGCCTCACAAAACAAGTACTGGTTCCTTTAAGCTAATTTAGATAAGCTTGTCTTAAACATAAGACAGAAGGATGGTATCTGCCTTACTAAGCTTTATAGTCTCTATACACAACAAAAATAACTAGTGAGTAAAGATGGGATGGTAAAGATGCACAAGGAGATAATGTACATATATTCCTAATGCTAAGATATAGTTTAATGACCTAAAAGAACTACGTTCAACAGAAATCTAGTTATCTCACTTGTAAGAAAAGCAATTGTAATTAAAATTATATTGCTATGTGTGAAGAGGTTGCACAGTAACACCAGAGTCACATAAAAGGGCTTTTGGGGCTTTATTTGTCATTAAAGCAGATCAATTTACAAACCTCATTAGGCAGACACTTTAAAAAATGTGTTTTTAAGCTATTGGCTTAACACAATTATTTAATGACACTCCACTCTTGCATAATTTTGGCAGAGATTTTATTGCTCTTTGCTTCTTTGTTTGTTTGTTTACTGATTGTAGTGGGTTTATGTGGCAAGGTTTTGGTAGCAAGGGGCCATAGGGGTGGTTTCTGTGAGAAGGATCTAGAAGCTGCCCCATGTTTGGGAAGGGCCCCACTGCTGACCAGAGCCAAGCCAACAAGCGATGTTGTTTTGCACCTCTCTGAGAGCATATTTAAGACAGGGAAAAAAACGCTGTGCCACACAGCAGCTGGGAGAGTGAGAGGAGTGAGGAACAGCCTTGCAGGCACCAAGGTCAGTGAAGAAGGAGGGGCACAGGTGCTCCAAGTGCCGGAGCAGAAGTCTCCTGCGGCCTGTGGTGAGGACCATGGTGAAGCAGGATGTCCCCCTGCAGCCCATGGAGTACCACGGTGGAGCAGGGTTCCATGCTGCAGCCCGTGGAGGAGACCACGGTGGAGCAGGTGGACTTGCACCTATGGAGGCTGCCACCTGTGGAAGACCCCTGCCGGAGCAGATTCTGGGCCGGACTTGTAGCCCATGGAGAGGAGACCATGAAGGAGCAGGTGACCTGGCAAGAGCTGCTGCCCGTGGGGGACCCAGGTTGGAGCAGTTTCCTCCTGAGGGATGGACCCCATGGTACGGACCCATATCTGGAGCAGTTCTGGAAGAGCTGCTGCCTGTGGGAAGCCCACACCGGATCAGTTCATCAAGGACTGCATCCCGTGGGTGGGTCCCCACAGCACAGGGGACGAGAGTGACTGAGGAGAGGCAGAGAAGAAACGCTGCAGACTGACCATAACCCCCATTCCCTCATTCCCCTGTGCCACTCAGGGGAAGGAGGTGGAAGAGGGTGGATGGGGAGGAAGGTGCTTTTGGTTTCTTTCCTTTGTTTCTCACTTCTCTAGCTTGTTAGTAATAAGCAATAAATCTTACTCTCTCCCTATGCTGAGTCTGTTTTGCCCATTACAATAACTACTGTGTAATCTTGTCCTTATCCCAACCTTTGAGCCCTTTTCATCGTATT